TAAAATCTTTACCATATCATATATAAACATACTATATACATAAAAACGGAGGATCTATATTTAAGTACCTATGTACATGTCAAAGTAATTACCTATTATTGACATCTAGTTGGTCTCAAATACAAAAGTAGTGCCATTTATGAGCCAATAATACTATCAAACACATGTATATATTTTTATGAACAGGTTGTTTGTCTTTTAAATTAAGATAAGATCAATACTCGTAGGGTATCGTTTCTATTACAAAATTCATAGATGGTTAATAGATTATTATATTGACTGACGCATATTATTATATTTTAAGAGTTCTTATTTCTAAATAAATATTTGGATCTTAATTGTTCACTTTTTTTTATCTGTTTAGATTTATTAATATCTAATATTTTTCACTGTTTTACGCTTTATCATATAAAAATCTGATATCATACTATTCAATATAAATTACTTAGATAATGATGAAATGATATAGTAATCATGCGTAAATTTAAATGAACAATTTGGGGTGTTTTGTAGAAGCGCCTGAAGGGAGATGAACCATCCAGATATCGAGTTAACTGCGTCCTAGCACACAGTATAAAAATAATAATCAATTATACAGTTCCATTAACAATGTTAATAATGATAAACATTGTCGTAAAATGTGCCATCATCAATAAATGATAAAGTTGCCAACAACAAAATAATGGTAGAGTCGCGGAATTAACGCTCCTATTGTGTTAGTACAATAATCCGCTATCTAGGCCAGCCTCAGTGCTGCAGACGAACCTTTTGTCTTTCATGTTCGCCGTTAATAATGGCGGGCACCGAAACAGCCGCGCACAATACCGCGAAATGTGCGCGTTTTCATTTGCAAGACAAAACGTGCTTTGTTGTGTGTCCGCTCAATACTAAATTTATAGCGGGTGGACCGAGAGCCGTATTGACGGTCCGCTAACGAACGACCAAACACCATAAATGCATTTTGATCGGGTACTTGCAGCCCAATTTACAAGAGACGAGCGACGCGGTCGCGGCTGGTCGTAATTGCAACTTTCCTTCCCTTCGTAATTTACAATTAATTTCCAAAAATAAATCTATTTGTATGAAATACTAAATATTTCAAATACCGTGTATTGTGTATGTATTTAATTTATTTTACTTTTATTTATTAATATAATCGTAATTAAATCGAAATTGCATAAATATCATTCTATATGTAGATTATGACATTTATGACTTGCCATATATGTAAAGAAGTTTTTTACATTTATAAATGAAATTATAAAAATATCGTCAAAAAATAAAAGTGAAAGACCATATTATTGCAATAAATAATTCAAATATGCAAAACTAAAATATGATACGCACAAGAATTATCTATGATTGATTGACACGTGATGCGAGAAACAGAGATATTGTATTATTAGCAAATTATTTTTATTTAAAAGTAGTCATAGGACCACGTCAACCTTTTTATGTATAAATTTTATGACCTATTCCTCATAAATATACACAAAAAATTGGTGTCTTCGTACTTGGCGTGGTGATGACGATTGATAGATTTTATCCATACACACAAGATAATTTAATTTTATGTTTGTTTATAATTGTATAATTTTAACTTCTTTTTGTTGTTTGTATTAATGGAATTGCTGTAAATAACAATAAAAAATATTACTAATCTCCTAATAATATATACGCAGCAGATGTCATCAATCAGTTAATACACCGGTAAGAGAAGTACATAATCATAATATACACATAGTAGTGATACAATTTCACACTGAAGTTTGCAAATTATCTAATAATGTGAGAGATGTGAGAGAATGATATCGCATCTTACTTTTATCTACCATTGGATATGGGACCTCTCCAATGTCACCGCCTACCTTTTTCTGTTTTCTTTGATTCGGATTTGATTTCTGATATACATATCTCGTAAATAATATTTGATAAAAATAAGTTTGTGTTAATAAATTATCGTGTTGTGCAAAAGGATTAGAGACTGGTGAGAAGAATTTTTATACAAGTTTAATCAGGCTGTCATTACAAAATAATTACAGATAGAATTCTATGTATTTTGTAATGACGGCTTCTCCATTGTTAATCTCCTTGTGATACTGCTACACTTCGCGATGACTGGATCGACGATGAGAATAAAACTCAGTGAACGTGTTACTTGTGTATTCAAGTTATTATATACTCTACTTTAGTTTAATTATAGATATATACTCGTAAATATGTTCAACAATATACTACCTACGTGTTCTTAAATAAAGTGATTATAAACATTATCTGACATTTTATGATTGTGCGTGGGATAATTCACCTATTATATATAAAATGTCATAGGTTGTTTCATATAACAGTGACTGTTTAGATTGTCATGGGTTCACTGAAGTCAATGTTTTGCTTCGGATATCCGAAATCGTAAAAAGATTTCTTATTTCCTTCCTTCTGGAGGATTTCTTATGTAAAACTATCCGTTGTTATAGAAATCAAGTTAGCTGTCTTCGTTCCTATACATCCATTAAATGTGAAATAAAATTCATGATGAGCGTTCATCAAAAACATCAAAGGCACCTGAACATAATTTCAATAAATGGGCTAAATTTCAAATTAAATATTACTGCAGAAGCCAGTCAGTAAATCAATACAATAGCAGGTATAGATTCTTAGAAATGTTTACGACAATTTTCTTCAGAAACTTTTAACAACAGTGTCCAATGGTTCTGATAAAGTACGCAATACCAAATGCCCACGCGTAATGCAAATCATACTGTCACAAATTTCTCATTTTAAAACTGAGGCTAATGATATACTAAGAAATAAGGTAGGTACCACTGAAAGTAATATCCACTTTTCAGTTTTTCTAGTCAATTCACTGTATCCACTTGGGGGTATGTTACTCCAAACAGTTATCACCTTTATGACACATGCCACTAGTTAGAAATGTTAGAAGTACCTACTTGCAAATTCATTCATCCAAAATTTAAGAGCCGCGCTCGTTTCGGTGGAGCTCTTGCCTTTTTCAATGATTTTCCACTGTCTCTTTAATTGTTGATACAACACAACTCCAACTTTTTCCTTGATCTACTTAATATAGATGTGTCTTGGTCTTTACCTTCCACTCTTGCCTTTTATTTTTCCTTTGATAATATTATTCATAATTGTAAAATTAGTTAGGTTATTTTAAAATATTTGTTCTCAATGAATTAATTTGTTGCGGATTTGATATCATAGGACAGTATATTATGATAATGGTATATTATAATAAAAATTTGCTATCTTTTCATGACTAAACAGCTAAATGCTTTTAATGAAATTTTATATGAAAATAGATTGTGTTACGAGAACGCACATAGAATACTTTTACCTTAGAAAGTAACCCGAAGGCGATGAAAATTAGTGCAGAGAATGACGCAGATTACAGCTAGTAATTAATAAATTAAAAAAGCTTTCGAAGAGGTACTAATAATTAAATCCAATCTATCGCATGTAATAATAATTCCATAATTAGTATAGAATGTAGGTTACGATTAAGAAGTAGCACTTTCCATTAAATACTTGACTTGCCAAGAGAAGTGTCTCTGATTTCTTGATTTCTTGCCAGCTTTCTTTCTGATTATACTCTAAATTATTTTATGAAGAGAATTAATAAGTTCATTATATTATATGAATATAATAGAGTCGTATCTACTCGAGTGTTATTGGCTAGATTAGATCAAAGAGATCAAACGACAATAATTCTTCAAGGATAGACCGAAACCGCACCGACACCGAAAACCCCATACGAAGCTACACTCAAGGCCCTAAGAGGTCGTCACAAAGGCGTCGTAATTGGCCCGTTCTTTTTACTTCCCTGAAGCATTCAAAGCCAATGAAACGTGTGCATTTAAATGACGTGCCGCAGCTTTGTGGGGTCACACTAAAGTTCGTGAAACCGCCAGTCTACTTTTGTTAGGGGCTACTAAAGAACCTGCTTCTTAAGAACTCATTAGTCATGCTTATTTCGTGTAATAGTGCACTGTTATTGTGTTAGTAGTAGTAGCTATAGGTAGTGATACGCTCGTATACTTACGAGGAACACAGTCTACGAGCGTAGACAATTCAAATTTTAATTTGTTTTATTAAAATGTTACTACCAATATATTGATATACCTGGTCAACTGATATTTTTTTAATTCTTCAGAAATATAACTTTTATAAACTTCATTGATGTCTATGATTACCTAACCAAATTTATAGTCGTTATCATTTTCATCAGTTCTTCAGCAATCGATTACAGACACATATTGAATAAAGTATATAATATTAATACATACAAGTAATGTTCCCAATAGATAGCGCTTATGTGTTATAGGAAATGTTTTCATATGTTACAGAAGATTTTGTTTGTTTTTTTTTTGTAAAAAGTCATCGACGGAATATTTCAGCCTCAAAGCAGCTTATTTTGTAAGCTGTATCTCGGTTATAGGGTGAGATGAGGCAGTATGAAATTATAGTATTAGAGGCATGATATCTTAGTCCTCCAGAAAAACAACCCATGATTGATATCACAGCATGCAACGTTATGTCGGTGGTGCTGTGCTATGCTTCGATACTACATACCAATATGTGGGTCGTTTGACGTTTTCATTACATAAAAAAAGGTATACTTATATGAATATTATCCAACATCAATATCAATTATTATTCATGTTGGATAATATTGTCACTTATAGAAGTCAAGTTTCAAAACATCTAGATCTGTATCTACTAATAAAAGGACTGACAGATGCGATATTAATTCTATGTTGCCTAATTTTAAACAAGTGTCAAGAGTATCAACACAAGATTTTTTCTCTTGAAACTTTCTGTAAGGTACATATAAAACAATAAATAAATAGGGTAGATTCTGTCAATCGTGTGTTCATAAAATAAATGTCGTTTTGTAAGTGCTCGCGTTTATTTGCTTAATTATCCACATATATTACACTTTCAAATACCTAATTCGATTTAAAAAGTGACTCACTCCCTCGTAAGCACCACAAAACATACTTACATAACTACACATCCCTCCTTTCTCCCATTGAATCGACTCCTCCACCCACTCCATTCATTCTTTACAGCTTTTGTAGAAACGCTCAGGCTTTTTGTAACAATGCCGTCCGATGTGAATAGTAACTGTCGAAATATTGTTAAACATGATGTCATCTTGTATACATTGGCTTATTTTTCTTACGCAGTAAAAGACTATGTATTTCTAAGATTAGTTCGCGTCATAGTTGCTATTAAAATGTAAATGAAACATACACAATTACAACTCTACTTGAGATTTTTAAAATGTTTTAATCTGTGGTACTTACTTTCTATTTTGATTGTCTGTAGCCATTGGCTATTGTAAAAATGATTACTGTCTAAACAAAAGTAAAGCGGTAATATAAAGTTTTTCTTAAATCTGAGCCATTGGCTATTGTAAAAATGATTACTGTCTAAACAAAAGTAAAGCGATAATATAAAGTTTTTCTTAAAATCTGCTGGAGCATAATTTAAATACATCACAAAGTACGAGTGAGATCCCGAAAAAATCTGCTGAATTACACAATTACTTGATTGTGTTCTATCTTCGTTCGATAATATACATAAAAGTCGAGTATTAAAGTAAACAATGGTTAGGTACCAAGTTGACGAGGGGGTAGGGGGGCTGGGCGATCGGTATTTGGTGCTCGCATTGTCGTTGAATAACTTTTGTCCCTATTGTGTTGCTGAAAGTAGAGCCACAAAGACTCCGCGGCGTGGAACATAAACCGAAATTCATCAGAGCGCCGATTGTTCGTCCTCTAATGGTGTTTGAAGCTAGATTTTGATGTATATTTTCTTTTAATACCCTCCCTATTTTTGGATTACCATTTGTTAGTGGAAATGTCAAGTAAGATTTTCATTGTTCTAAACTATTGATTCGGTACATGGACTACCTTTTGTAGTTTCAGAAACGGTATATTTCTTTCAGAAAAGTTTCATTATTTTATATAAAAACAAAAAATAAGCTGATATTCCATTTAACATACACACGTACCCATTTTAATGTACAACATACTATTTTATTTTATTTTTACAATAAAGTTAGAATATCTAATATTTTATCCATAATTTTGATTCCGCGATAGTCTGTCTGTATATTGTTAACTTGTCTGTTCATGACCAGAAGTCACAGTACTATAATATATATTTTTTAATTTACAGTGTGATAGGCGAGAGAAAAAGTAAGAGACAAGAGCTATTTTTTACTGACCTCTGGCATAGGTGTTCAATGGGAGAAGCTTTTCAGAGGTCAATTAATTTTTACTTTGTATAAACTGTTTGATTTGTATACCATATTACTGTTACCAAAACGGCGTACTTTGCTCTACTGCGAACTGTAAGAGGCCTATAAATTTGTTAAAAAAGACAGTATTTTTAAAATGATACTCGACGACAAAAAAATACGGCAATTAACCTATATAAAAACATTGCAAACCTTTCATCTAAGGTCACGTTAGCGGTTCTAGTCAAGTAGTGGTGAATTTAAAGCTTTACCACTTAATCTTTTTCTCAAAGCGAATCATCCTTTTGAGCTGAATAGCCCTATTTTCCTTAAACGTAGAACTTTACAATTTCTTCTTGCAGGAACTGAACCAAATAGGTTGGTTCAGGTCATTTGGCTCACAAAGTACTCAGTTCAGAATTTCAGTGACTTATAATTTGAGTAGAATTTAGTATGTGTTCCTTCTACTGTTGAAGTTTCAAACTTCAGTAAATTAATAAGTGAGTTACTGCAACATGTCAAGTTATTCTAAATTTTAATTTGGATTTGTTCCTATTTGTCAGTTTTTTTTATAAAAGTAGCAACAATTAAAATGCGTAAAATAGTATTTCTTAGTCAAATAATTCAATACTTTTTTTAAGAGACCTTATTTAAGATTACTTTATTTTGAATTACTTTAATTAAACATATTGCTATCTCTTCTATGTCTCTGTTATAGTAGTGTTATTTATCTTCGCTTTATTGAGTACTTCATTGTGAGGCTGTTTTATCAATGTGTCATTATTTCCACATACAATCAGCTCCACATTGTAATCATTGAATGAGCCGCAGTGGAAGTGATTGTTAAAAACATTTCATATGTATGGTATGATATTCATTTCAAAATCACATTGATATCAAAATTATTTAATCCACAATTCATCATATATTGTTATAAAGTAATATTTAATATCTTCAGTGTACATAGGTGTTATATCATTCTTATTATTAACAATGCAGTTACTATTGAAACATGAAAAGATACAACTGTAATTAAATATCGCTAATATTTGGAGCTATATAGAGAACAGAATGCGAGTTATATTATTACTAAAGGTCGTTATCATCGACGAATGTCAAAATTGAAAATGATCCAGTTTATTGAATTCACGGTGCTTAAATTTTTTTTGTCCATTATATATATTTTGAAATTACGAGTATCATAATAATATACTACACTACTACACTACTAATATACATATTGTATGTATTTCATAGTCAACTTACTTTACTTGTTGTATTTAGCTAACGCTAAAATTGTATTACAGAATACAACAGCCTTCGATTAAAAATCGAAACATTACGAATTCTGTGGAATTCGTAATGTTTCGATTTTTAACAATAAATTAATAAGTACAACATTATTTATTATTATTTTTCATCTCCTGTGAGTTAAGGATACCTATTTTATTTCTTATCATTTAAAAAAAATCCTAAACTATTTTTGGATCTTCTCGCAACAATTTTCTGTTATTTGATGCTTATTAGATTATACATATATGCCATAATACTCTTTAATGTGTGTTAAAAAAAAAATTATGACCTTTATCCTGATGAGTAATTGTTAGCAGCAAGGTTTGATCATTTGTAAAAAATAGTAATATTAATGCACTGCACCACTGTTTTGCTGTTTGGAATAGGGCCAAAGTATCATTTTTATTGATTACTCCAAACAATGACTGAGTGATATTATGTGACACAATAGTTGTGAATGGCACGCGATCGTAGATTAGGCATGAATCTCCTGCGTTTTAGATTTATAAAAAAATTACCATATAAAAATATGGCTTCGTTATCAAATGCTTAGGGTAATATTTAGTATCTATACTCACGAATTACGTTAAGTAAATTAGACATATTAAAATAGGACATTGAGAAAATTAGATACTTTGGTTAGCAGGTTTTAGAGCAAGCACCAGATGAAAGTACCAATGTCATATGAAAGTAATCATAAACCATTAAATATAACACTTATTTTATATATATGCGTAATGCATTTAAACCTCTCGTCTTACGTCAATGTTATTTTGTGTCTATATATATATATATATATATATATATATATAAATATTATTAAATATCCTTTGGAATATGGAATGTTGGAAGAAAGCTCTTTGCTCCTTGTAATATGTAGGAGTAATAAAGATGTGTTACAAAAAGAATTTACCTAAAGTTCCATATTGCAGTCAATTGATGTAAATAATAAACAACAAATATTACATACTTTTTGAATAAATAGTTCGGCAAAAAATGTTCAATATGACAAAGCAAAGGAAGCAAGCAGAGTAAATCAACCGTTGCTTGCATTAAAACTGTGCTTGGTTTAAATAACTTGAAATACGCAAAAGGGAAAATTGCAGTTACATTGTGACTAGACATGATATTTCAGCATACTCTGAAAGAGGGAGCCACAAAGTGGTAACTGTAATATTGGTACTAATTTTAAAGCAACATGGGGTGACGGTGGCCGCGTTGCACTGTATAAGGATAATATCATATGTGTAGTAAGGTAAAGATTGATTGAGCTGCCAAGAAGGAGCAAGTAAACTTACTTTCCAATAAGAGTACGTAGTAATTGCATCGTTAAAGGGCTTACATGTTTACTAATCGCAAAAACAACCTTCAATCGTCGGAAGCTTCCCATAGTAAGTACATCTTAAACGATGTCTCAGTGTTCTAATTATTACATCCACATTGTGTTACGATATCATATTTGTCGACAATAGCGGCCTTTATGTAGCAAACAATCGTGTAGCTGATGAATTTCGGTCTATGTCTGTGCCGTGTCTTTGTGTTCGGGCCTCCCTCTAGTGGACAACACAATGGGACAAAAGTTGTTCAATGGCAGCGCAAGCACCTAATACCCTGCCCTCCCTCCATTGTTTCGTGTAATGTTCGACTTTTATGGATATTTTCAATGGATCGCCTATAATCTGGAGAATGAAGTTGCGAACTCTTGCCTATTATCGCTTATGGTCTGTTGGAAGGTTTGGTAAGCTTACAATGAAATTCTCTGTATTATTATAGGTACTTATAGTGTAATCTTTCAAGATATCTACGACACAATGGCTTCCAAAATGTTATTGCGTATATTGGCAATATATTTCATTTTTAAAAATCCATTTTCTGAGTAAAATAATGCACACATATTTCGCCTGATAGCCTCACATCAAAAATTATCATGCAATCAAACTTACAAGAATGTTATTAATCAAATAGCATGCACAATATTCAATTTATTTAAAAAACAATACTTTTCAGATAATGTTTGTGATATAATATTGGGAATAAACTGTTATTAAATTGACATACAACTTCTCAATAGTGAAAATAACACAACAATAGCAAATCAGTTTACAGTTGAATTGAAAACGCCTCCTTTATGAAGTCATTCCGTAAAATCGTCATCCTCAGTCGACGCGGAGATGCAGTAGTTTACGGAAATGTTACTTATTCCCAAGTATTTGTAAAGAAACTTGAAACGGAGAATATAGCCGATTCCCTATTGACCAGGCGGACCATTGACTACGGACTACAAGTAATAGTCTGGCCGTCCCGTTTCACGCAGAATAGTAGATTATAGAGTTGCGCCGCTCACAACAATGGCTCAGATAACTCATAATGCAGTTTGCCGATGTTGAAAGCAACCGCCACACTTCCCTCGATCGGATTTTCCATGATAATCGTGACAAAAGAACTTTGTGGACTCGCGCGCGTATATTCTATTGCGAGTTGGACGCATACGTTCTATTCATACCGACATCGACGGATAACTTATCGATAGAATATCGTGTTTATTCAATTGTTAAGCTTTAATAGTGTACAACATAATATAGGAAAAGTCACGGAAGATGTTACATTTATGAGTTGAGATTTAGTTTATCTCGTGACCGTAATTGTAAGGTATTGGTGTTATATGATAAGGATATCTAGAGAAGAAAGGTACTGAAATTACCGATATTTAACCAGTAATTTCAGTACCTTTCTTGTAAATTAACTACGAGGAATTATACCCACATGAAACTATTAAATTCTATTCGCCTTTTATTTTCAATCAATCTCCTTTATTATTTTTATTGAATATCCTAATTTCGTAATTTGAAGCTTGTCACCGCGATTCGTGGCAGGCGTATTAAGACTGCCCATCTATCTAGACATGTTCACTTGTACTCGTATGTACATATACTACATCGAAAAGCAAAAAGGGAGGCTTCTCGATTCACCTGTTAGAAAAGTGATGTCACTTGTGAATAAACGATTCAAACAAACTTCATATAAGAGGCTTTACTCCTTAGTCGTTCATGTAACGACTAAGGAGTAAAGCCTCTTATATTTTGCATTAGATACGAGAATATTACTTTTCCGAATGACATAACAATATGATACGCATTGTTGTCCGTGACAGAAATAGGCAAGAAGATAGGATAGCTGTGTATGTAAATGACACAGGTAATTCTATCTTGAGAGATTAGATCTAAGACCAATAAGTTTTGGTAGTGTGTGTGTATGTATAAGACCAATTCTGATATTATATTCTCCTATATTTTTTGATCTCTATCTTATGTACCTAGCCAATTTTAAACCGAAATTTTATTTCTATGTTAGCAATCGGTCCTTCCAAGGTTTAATGTATATTTGGATCATTTTAGTATAGGCATTTTAGTGTAGTTTGAAATAGTGTTTTATGAACCAGAATTTTAAGCATATTTCAACAACTAAGAATGTAAAAAAGGCATAATAAATACAGGGTCTTTATTTTACTTTACGAATAAGTATGTAATGGTATTAAAATATTTATTACTATAGAGAGATTTAAATGAAAGTTGATACTTGGATAAACCAAATCGAATATTAACTTTTATTACTATTTAACTAAACAAGATACGAGCCGTACCCTAGTAGGGTACGCCTCGTATCTTGTAAGTACTTACTATTAATAATAGTAACTCATTATTACTATTTAGATAATATACACAGTTTCAAAATAAGTGTCTGTATGTTTATTTTATTTGATAGTGCTTGTATTTTTGGGGGGCTAAGCTAGAAATACTTATATAAAGTATAATAATACGTAATTACTAATAAACATAAATAATTTCTTATTATATATATAATGAATGGATTTAGAAAATATCCAGATCAGTACAAACAATCATGAATAGAAATATTTTTATCGCGAAATCAATCAAACTAGCGGCCATCGGAAGTCGTCGATTTAATCCTGATTAATTATTAAAGAATTGGGAACATTCTTCACTCTGGATCCGTATTAATATATAGATGAAAATTTATATTAGTACAACAAAGCAGGTCACTACAAAGTTATAGTCTTCAAACATAAAGGGCCCGCACATTACTGTAGTGTCTGTAGTTCTTTGACCACGGTGAATACGATCGGTAGAGCGGCAGGATTGCAGCTATTGTCCACTAA